AAAATGCATTAATAATCCACAGAATGGATGCAAATTGAGATGTGATGTCAGAATCGGGTATTAATAACCATATATTGTGTATAAGAGTTACTGTATTAATACTATAGAGAGCTTATCGACGTCTTTCCATATATCGTCTATTGACTCAATTAAAGCATATATTTTTTGTCAAACATTTAATCAATTTTTTGCGACTATTTTTAGGTATTAAGCGCTCATAAAATAAATAGATTTATAACTGAATTCCAAGAAGAATAATATAATTAAAAGAGCGATAAAAATAAATACTTTTTATTCTTTATTATTCTTTATTACTTTGAAAATCATTTTATAAAATGAATGAAAAACTATCAAAAATAAAATTTAAAGCCCTTTTTGTTTAATGAAATTATTTTTCAACTCATTTAATGACAATAAAAAACAATACAATCAATAATATTAGAGTATATTTAGAGATGAGATGTGAAATAACAATATAATAAATGACTCGAAAAGGTCTTCATTTATCAAATAAATAAATCTCAAAAAACAATTTATTAAACATTTTAATCGTATTTTATAAAAACAATTACAATAAAAGTGGACATAAAATGAGGGGAACTGTTGGGTCACAAGTCGTGTGCTTTAAATTTCCATATCTTGACAGAACAGTCATCACCAGAAGTGGCAAATATGCCATCAATTGCTGGATTCCAGTCCACACTATTCACGTCCATTTGATGGGCCTTTTCGTGCCGAAGAACCACTGAAAACCTCTGAAGACTATTGTCACTTAAATCACCACTACTTTTGGTGTCGTCTTCTTTAAACACAATGATGGTGTCGTCGCCGCCGGCGGTCAGTATGTAATCGGAGGTATGCGACCACGAAATGTCATAAACGGCTCGACTGTGGAAACCAGAGAGAGTGGACACACACTTCCAGTTCGTTATACCATTAAATGATTGCCAGATTTTGATTGTCTTATCACTACTAGTGGAGGCCAACCGCTGGCCACTCGAGTCAAAGGCAATACTCCAGACCGTCGACTCGTGGGAAGTAAGTGTCGCGCAACAGATCCAGTCGTCGCCGTCGTCTTTGTAGAGCTTAATGGTGTTGTCGTAACCACAAGAGGCCAACACGTCGTCGATTGGATGCCAAACAACTCGTTTCACGTCTTGCGAGTGATCCGTGAGAACTGACGCGCATTCAAACTCTTCGGATTCCTCCGATTCAACGCATTCCCAAATCCATACCGTCTTATCCCGACTACAGGTCGACAAATACTTTCCCGATTTAGACCAACAAACACTCTTCACCTCATTCTCGTGTCCCTCAAGACTGATAACGCACTCCCATTCCTCGGAGTCGTCCTTTCGGTGCCAAACACTAGTCGTCGCGTCAAAGGAAGCGGAGGCCAAGTACTGACCCGTCGGCGACCACGCGATCGACCGGATTGTCCGCTGGTGTCCATCGCTTAGTATGTATTTAGTTCTCCAAGAATTGCCTTCAAAACGGATCCCAAGAGTAAATTGCAATTAATTGTCAAAACAATGGTTCAACGGATTCATCGATACCTTCTTTAGCCCACAGTCTTATAGTCTTGTCGGCGCCACACGAGGCCAGAGTGTGTCCACTCGGGTGCCATCGTTTTTTAAGATTATTTTAAAAATTATCTGTATTTTTATAATTCTTTCTCTCAATTATGTTAAGAATATTATGATATTTCAATTATTACAGCAATAGTCGATTCAGTTGAGTCCAGTCGAGTGTCGATTGATTCAACATTTCATTTATTATTAATTGTTTCTGTTTTTGACTTTTTTTGTGATTTACTAAAATTTGTGTTTAATTTTTTATTATTGAATTTAAAATTCATTTATTAAGATTACACATCGTTTTTGTATTCGATTATTGTGTTATAAATAAAACTTAAATTTGGTTTTAATTTTTAAAAAATGTAATGTTATTTCCGATTTAATATTAGATTACATTCTAGTGTTTAAAACTATTCAATGAATGCTTGCGTTAAAACACCGATTGAGAGGTCATTCAATACGTAACCAACTATTTGCAGTCATTAGACACAAACAAAGTGACGCAAAACGTGGTATTATTGTACCCCTTGTTCTGTAAACAGTGTACAGTGATTAGCACAACCCCACCCATCAATAGTGTCACGTTATGTGTGAATATAATGGCAAATATTTGGGTGTTTTTGATGGAGTCATAGACTGGTAGACAGTATTTGCTGTGGAAATACAGTATCAGTGATTGAGTGTAACATTGGATGCAATGAAACACAACATATAATGAATACATATTTATATGATTTGTGACAACAATTAGTGACCGAAACATGACTTTAAGGAAAGTTAAGGGAAATTTTGACCGCATTTTCGACAAAAATCTGTCGGATTTGGTCCGCGGTATCCGTAATAACAAGGATAACGAGGTATTCACTCACATGTCATGACATGTAATGATCGCTATATCTGTTGACCGATTTGTTTACCATTTATTCATTTATTAATTGTCTTTTGTATTGACTTTTGGTCTCCATTTTGACGCCAATCGACGCGAAGAATAAATATATTTCGCAATGCATTGAAGAGATCAAAGAAGAGTTAAGACAAGAGAGCATTTCAGTGAAAGCCAATGCCGTCGCAAAACTCACATATGTATGACATCTATGATTGTGTCCCATCTTATTGTCATTGCAATGAATTAATTGATTTGCATTACAGCTCCAAATGATAGGCTATGACATCAGTTGGTCCGCCTTTAACATCATTGAAGTGATGTCTTCGCAAAAGTTCACGTATAAAGTATGGCTTCATTTGTGTTGACACAATCAACGATAATCTGTTTATAATCTTATGATTGCATTTGTTATCCATTAATACAGAGAATCGGATACTTAGCGGCCTCTCAATGCTTTCACGAGAACACCGAAGTACTTATGCTGACCACGAATATGATCAGAAAGGTTTGCCTCTAAACACTTGTCACTAACAGTGCATTAACTGAATACCCCGTCGGACAGGACCTGAACAGTCAGAACATGTATGACGCCGGCTGTGCGATGAGTGGTCTCTCGTGTTTCGTCTCCACAGACATAAGCCGTGATTTGGCTAATGATGTGTTGACTCTCTTGACGTCCACTAAACCATATTTACGTAAGAAAGCGGTTCTACTTATGTATAAGATTTTCCTCAAGTTTCCGGAGGCTCTGAAACCCGCGTTTCCGAGACTTAAAGAGAAACTGGAAGATCCCGACCCCGGTATGTATTGCACTCAATGGTGGCCTACAATACGCCAAACCATATAATTGGATATCATATTAATGGCATTGTCTGTACGATCAGGTGTTCAATCGGCGGCAGTGAATGTAATCTGTGAGTTGGCCCGAAAGAACCCCAAGAATTACCTGTCATTAGCGCCCGTTTTCTTTAAGTTAATGACAAATTCGACCAATAATTGGATGTTAATTAAAATTATAAAACTGGTCAGTCTTTCGCTCATTTATTGCCTATTGTTTGAAATTTCTATGAATTTTACATTTAATTATTTATTCAATGAATTTATTCCTTAAAATTGTTGTAAAACTTTGTAAATCTCATAAATGTAACGATTGCTTAATGTTGTGGCGCTTTGTCCTCATCTCTAACTCTGATCTCTATCTCTACTTGTAATGTATGACAGTTTGGTGTTATGACACGTTATGAGCCTTTACTCGGTATTAAATTAAGCCATCCTTTGATTTCAATTATCAAAAGGTAATGACAATTGAGAAGAGCTTATAAAAAGTGTGTGTGCTTTCAATCCTTCCCTTAAATCCCGTTTTGTTTGTTTCGTTTGTAAAAACACTAAATCAAAGAAGCAATTGTTATGTCGGACTAAATCCTATACTGAACTGAATCTATACTGAACTGAACTGTCATTTACTCGCTCTCAGCTTTGCGATCACAAAACAGCTTTTAATTTGCGGCCACTCTTTCATTATACAAATGCGATAACTTTATTATTATATATGATTTGATAAAAATTAGTATTTTATGTTTATTATGTATTATAATTTTGGTTATTATTTAAATGTAGATTTGATTTGTTTGATTGATTGGTTTTGTTTACAGTTCGGTGCTCTGACCCCACTTGAACCCCGATTAGGCAGAAAACTGATAGAACCGCTAACTAATTTAATTCACAGGTAATTTTGATTATTATATTTTATTTGTTTGCCCCAAAAACTCCTCATTCCCTTCACTCGACGGACTGTTTTTGTTCCTCACATCCCATTCTGCCACCAATACTGCCCTTTAAATGAATCCATTGTCTAATAAAATGATATGAATGAAACCAATTGCTGTATTGGTAGCACATCCGCGATGTCCTTACTGTACGAATGCATCAATACTGTGATCGCTGTCTTAATATCCATATCGAGTGGATTACCCAATCATAACGCCTCGATTCAGCTCTGCGTTCAGAAACTCCGAATCCTAATCGAAGATTCGGACCAAAACCTGAAATATTTAGGTCTTCTGGCGATGAGTAAGATCTTGAAGACGCACCCGAAGAGCGTTCAGGCGCACAAAGACCTCGTTCTCACCTGTTTGGACGACAAGGACGAGTCCATTAGATTAAGGTTCTTATCAAGAGTTATTGTTTTTGCCATTTTTATCATGCTTTCACTTCTAACCTAAAGAGCCCTCGACTTGTTGTACGGAATGGTAACTAAAAAGAACTTAATGGAAATCGTTCAGAAATTATTGGTTAACGTAAATGAAAGCCAAATGGGAAACAAATACAGGGATGAAATCATTGCAAAACTCATCGATATTTGTTCCCAAAATGATTATCAATTTATAACCAATTTTGAATGGTATGAACCAAACACTAGTTTACAGTAGTATTGAAACAATTATTGTTTACTTTAAACAATATATTTATAGGTATATAACAGTTTTGGTTGAATTATCTCGTGTGGAAGGGGGGACAGAACACGGAGGTCTTATCGCTCAACAACTACTAGACGTTGCCATAAGAGTCGACGCCATCCGTTCCTTTGTTACGCGACATATGGTTAGCAATTAATTCCCTATAAATCTACCAATTATTGTAATTAAACTAATTTTGCATTGAAGGCAATACTCCTGGAAAACAGTCACTTATTTATGAACAATTCATCGGTATGTGAAGTGCTGTACGCGTCCGCCTGGATATGCGGCGAATTCGCTGAGTATGTCTTCCTTTATATTTATGTCTCGTTTATCCATTGTTTTATAAATGGCTGTGTTTTTTGCAAATATATAGTTTCATTCCGGAACAAACGTCAACACTTATGCATTTGTTGACAACCACTGCATTCCCGGCACATATAACCGCTGTATTCCTTCAAAACGCTTCCAAAATTCTGTCCAAAATGTCAAACGAAAAGACCGACGATTTCTATAGACTATGCGATGAATTAATTGATAAACATTTACCGCATTTTCTAACGAATGAAGATTTAGAAGTGCAGGAAAGGGCGTCCAGTTTTCTGCAAATCATTCAAATCATGAAATCCGAAGACATAAATATGGAACAACTGTTCTTCGCGTATGCACTCAATCCAGTGGCCGCTAAAGCACAGCGAAAAGTGCCGATTCCCGCCGGACTCGAACTCGATCTGCCATTCGTTGAGTTCGATGGCGACGACTCCGAAGACGAAACTATTGAGGAAATGAGTTTCGGCGGCGATGACGAGGAGGAGGAGGAAGAGGTGATACTGACGGAAGTCCAGATCCAACACAACAGACAGATCGCGGACGACAGGAAGGCACAGATGGATAAAAATCCGAATTACTTGAAGTCGAGCTCAAAATCAAAGAAGAAAAAGAAAAATACACGAAAAGAAAGAGACGTAGAAATGGCTGAAGAAGTGTTGGAAGAGGCGCCAGAAGTGGCGGTCGATTCTGCGAAACCCGTAAAAAGTAATGCCATTCCAGGACTCGTTTCTTCTCAAAATTATGTGAAGAAAACCAAACGAAAGAAAACCAAAAAGAGTCAAAAGAAATTGATAGAAGAGGAAGAAGAAGAGGAAGAGACAGAAGTGCACCAAATTGTGACAATAAAGGGCTTAGAAATGCCTGAAGGCGTCGATGCGAATGATATGGAGAGCGACGATGAGTTGCTCGAAGGCCAGGCTTTGGATCCACACAAAGCTCTCTCCAAAATCACTTTCAATGAATCGGATTTTGCTAACAATAGAAGTGTTTCCAAACAAAGAAAAGATTACGATTTGAATGCAATCGAAGAGAGACTCAAAAAGAAGAAGAGCTCCAAAAAAGTGAAACCAATTGAAGAGAAGAGCGAAAAGAAAACAAAGAAAAAACGAATTAAATCAAAAGACAATCAAGACTTAGAAAACGGAGAGAATTTATTAGTGAATTTGGATGACATGGAAGTGATGACTGAAGTGATGACTACTGGCGTCAAGAAGAAGACCAAACGACCGAAAAGTCTTGAATTGAATGGCGAGAAGAAAAAGAGCAAAAAGAAGGGCAAATCAAAGATAACTGTTTTGGAAACGACAGAATCGACGCCAAAGCGCGACGACTACGAGGAGACGGCAGGTATAGAGACTCCCAGTCTTTTCGTGCCTTCTTTGCAATCAGCGATCGCTTCGGAAACAGCGGCCGAACCGCCGGTCGTCGACACTATTCCCGAAACTATCGCTT